TGTGCTCACCTGTGCCCAGGTAACCCCAAAATTCCCTCATTTTCGTTCCTAAAATCTCCATTTTTTCACCTAAAATCTTCATTTTTTCACCCAAAATCCCCGGGTTTTTTTCCTTTCTCCTCACCTGTCCTCACCTGTGCTCACCTGTGCTCACCTGTGCCCAGGTAACCCCAAAATCCCCAATTTTTTATCCCAAAACCCCCATTTTTTGTCCTAAAATCCTCATTTTTTCACCTAAAATCTTCATTTTTTCACCCAAAATCCCCGGTTTTTTTTCCTTTCTCCTCACCTGCCCTCACCTGCCCTCACCTGTCCTCACCTGTGCTCACCTGTGCTCACCTGTGCCCAGGTAACCCCAAAATCCCAATTTTTTATCCTAAAACCCCTATTTTTGGCTCTAAAATCCTCATTTTTTCACCTAAAAACTTCATTTTTTCACCCAAAATCCCCGTTTTTTTTTTCTTTCTCCTCACCTGTGCTCACCTGCGCTCACCTGTGCTCACCTGTCCTCACCTGTGCCCAGGTAACCCCAAAATCCCCTCATTTTCCCTCCCAAAACCCCCATTTTTTGCTCTAAAATCCTCATTTTTTCACCTAAAAACTCCGTTTTTTCACCCAAAATCCCCATTTTTTCTCTCACCTGTGCTCACCTGTGCTCACCTGTGCCCAGGTAACCCCAAAATCCCCATTTTTTATCCCAAAACCCCCATTTTTTGTCCTAAAATCTCCATTTTTTTACCTAAAATTCCTGGTTTTTTGTCACCTGTCCTCACCTGTTCTCACCTGTGCTCACCTGTGCCCAGGTAACCCCAAAATCCCCAATTTTTTATCCTAAAATCCCCATTTTTTGCTCTAAAATCCTCATTTTTTCACCTAAAATCTTCATTTTTTCACCCAAAATCCCCGTTTTTTTTTTCCTTTCTCCTCACCTGTGCTCACCTGTGCTCACCTGCGCTCACCTGCGCTCACCTGTGCAGTTCTCGGAGGCCGAGTGCGCTCGCCGGGCGCTGACTCAGCTCAATGGTTTCGAGCTGGCCGGGCGCCCCATGCGCCTGGGC